GACACATAATGTCCTACAATATAGTGATAAGACTCACCAGATCTAATCAACAGAATCTCATCAGCAACCTTAGCGGCAAAACAACTAACACAAGCTACCGAATGCTAAACCGAGACATGTCCTTAGACAAACACTCAATTCTACCAAAGTTGACCAAAAGTCAAATTGTTCAAAAAATTTAACAGTGAACTAATCACAGATGTGGGACACGCAGTCCAATGCAACGTAGACAAAACCTGACAGGGCCGCGACGAACATCCATAACCGCTTATGAAGTTAAGCTCTTAACCCCTAAATCCAGAGCCCTAACCTCATATATGATTCGTCTAATGATCCTCATGGATAAAGTTTCCATCTAAAGGTTCAAACGATTGAGATCACTAACTCTAAATCTCTAAGGGACAAAAATATCACCAAGACCATGCATGACACTTAAAGGGAGATGAAGTCCGAATCTTAGCCCCATAATGGGTCTAGAATACTTAAACATTTAAACCTTTAACCCTGGAGTTGTCCAAACTCCCACTCAAATCCATCAGAAGGGCCAAAACAAGCATATAAACCATGTTCCATGAAGTTATAAGAATACATGTGTAAGGTTGAAGACTTACAGAGGTCCAACATGGATCAAGAAGGATGATGAAGCTTGGATCTGAGCTAAGAATGCTAGAATCTCAAAACCCTATGTCTCGTGGTTTGAACACTAATTAAAGGCACTAACTCTTAGAGTTTTCTTTCTTATCAACCTCCAACTCCTAGAAACCCTAGCCTCCTTCCATTCATTCATGAGATTTGGTGACATTTGTAGCAAACTTGAAGAAGAAGCAAGGTGTTCATGTTTTAAAGGAAGGTAGGTTTGAAGAGTATTATTTTCTTGTCATCTCGTATTGCTTAGTAAGTGTTAAAGTTTTCATCTTTATGGATTTTGGCTTCTAGATCTAGTGTTCTTAAGAAATTTGGTCATGTGTGGTCCCTTCTTCTATGGATTTTGGAAAACTCCATGTTAGTGAGTAGTTTAAAGGACTCTTTTGGACTTTTTGTAGTGAAAAGAGTGCATGTATAAGCTCTCTTTGATCCTTGTAAGAAAGCCATAGCCATTTTGTCTTGTTTTTTATCTAGGATTTGTGTTTTTCATGTTAGTAAAGTTTAAATTTTTATCCATTAGAAACCTCCTGTGATGGTGTCTGTTAGTTATAGCCATGATTAAATAGATTAAGCACTTAGTAGAAGTGGTTGACTCGCATAAGTGACACAACATGACTAACTCTTGATCGCGACGCGATGCATTGCCTGGTCCACGACTATTTTGGACTATAATTATCGTGATACGACCAGAGGCTGGTTGTAACGCATTGCATGTTGACCGTTTATTATTGACAAATAAGAATTTTGGTGGAAATTTGATGATCATGTAGTTTTGGACTGAGTTTTTACCTCTATTTAGTAATGGTTACAATGATGCGTTTAATGGTGAAATTAGTTGGCTCGTGCTGTTCAATTCGCTTGTGGAGACTTGTGTTTGAGATTTGGATTTCTAGCACAATGTGAGTTTTCTCACTATACTCTGTTTCATATTATATGACCTTTGTATGGTAAGAAGGTTGTAAAATGTTTCGGTACAAATGTCTGTATAGACTAGAGTAGCCTTTTGTTATGATAGTCAGAAGGTTGTATGATAAGATCATATGTCTTCGTATGAATTAATGACGGAACGTACTGAACCATGAGCCTACATGCTCATTAGGAGGGGTGACATGATGAGATCATGATCCTACTGTACATGCCTTTGGGATGATGATGGAACAACATTGAACCATGAGCCTATAATACCAATAGCAGAGGGTGTGATGGTGGGATCGTGAGCCTATGCTATAGGTCTGACATGTGGAGAATTTACAATGAGATCATAAACCTAAAGTTGTATGCATTGTATCAGCGCATTTACCATGACAAGGAGCACATACAAGAGTACCCAAACCATTCTCCATAGAGCATTCACGTGTATAGCATGTTCACACTTCAATTATAACATAATTAAGCAGACAATGCCTTCACCAAATGCCCTAGTGCATTCTTGGACCCAAAGGAACCTCCCTAGCACATTCAGGGAATGCCCTAGCGCATTCAACAATGCCCTAGCACATTTGACACTTCAGAATGCTCCAACATAATGCTTCATCTTATGTAAAAATGTTCCATATCAGAATGCTCGACCATTATTTTAAATGCTCAAGTCACATTTAACATTATCAATGCAACATTCAATCCATGAAGAAAATGGATAACAAGATTAGATTCAGATTCAATATTTCCCATTGACTTTAGTTCATGAATACTTTTCATTTTATTATAGCAAAAAGTAACGTAAAGTTTACCTTGTTGTATATGCTAAAATTCATTATGCAACTGAGATTGTTTAGTAAAAGCTTATTATATATATGATGTCTCCAAAAGCTTGTAGAGTTTTGTTGAAGTGTTGATTGTTATGGACTTCGGAGATACTAAAGCATGACAAGTAGCATTGTTGTAGGCTTGAATATAGTCATAAAGTTTCTCTAATTAAAGAAACTCATCCATCATTTAAAGAAGATATGATCTCTCATAAAGCTTCTAGAGTTTTGTTGAAGTGTTGCTTCATATGAATATGGAGCTATTGAAGCATGACAAATATCATTGATGCAGGCTTAAATATAGCCATTAAGTTTCTTCCTTTGAAGAAACTCTAGCATCTAAAGAGGGTGGAGAATTAGAAGAATCAACATATGATTCTAGATCTACAGTTGGAAGGCTTATATTGAATGCACGCGTCCAAACAAGGTAATTTCTACATTTTGTTGTGTAGATATGAAACTTGTATTCTTTGTCAATGGAAATTAAGTAATAGATATTCTAACATGATCTTCAATCTCTGATGTTGACACATTGAATCAGAAGAGAAAGAGAAGAAAAATCTGACTATGAAATGAATAGATGAATATGTAATGGATCTAAAATCGAGTATGAAAGTAATTTTTGATACTCGGAATATGAGATTACAAATTTTAGTGAATCAGATGGAATCTGTGATTCTATCATCTTGATGCATTGACACCGTAAAGAAGAATATAGAGAGACGATTGAGAGACATTGTGAAAATTTCCATTATTCTCGTTAAGCTAAATGATTTCACACACATAAAGGAACTAACACAAATAGAACTAAGGTTACAGAATTGATAGGAACCTAACTATGGTTAGGTTATATCTTAACAACCACTAACTAATTCTATGTTAACACATGGTCAAATACAAATTCCTAAGTCAAGAATGAAATACTAAACCACAAACTCTTAATTCATAAGAAGGAAAATATACATTACGTTTTCCTCAAAAAAGCAATAGAAATGGTAACGAATTGCATAATAAAGATGAAGATATAAAGAATTTAATTATGGAAAGGTTATAACCTAGTTTTTCATGTGAGCTACTTAATTAAGAAAAAAATTACAACCCCTTATAAAAAGATAATTATTTCCATCTACATCTCATCTAGACAAATATCTTGTGGAACATCGTACCCAAAAATCATGGAGTAATCATCCATTTCATTCCCCTCTTGTGTATATTTTGGTATTCTCCAACTCTTTGTGAAATTTGAGTCATCTCCATATTGTAAAACTTCTAACACCTAACAATAGTCAAGAAAGAGAAAATATTATCATTAAAAACACTTGTTTGCGCTTCGAATGAAAGTGCAAAGAGTAACATATATACCTCAGTCATGGAAGGTCGCGCATCAGAAGATTGTTGTACACAATATGAAGATGCGAGTACTAGTCTGTACACTTCATCAAGTTCATATGCACCTTCCAGATCAGGGTCAACTAGTCCATGGATGTCTCTAGAGTCCATAAGTGGTTTGGCCTATAACATTGCACACTTTATTATTAGTGGAAATTAAATGTGTCGATCGTTACGTTATTACATATGTTCAATATATCATCGTGCGTTATCATAACAAACACAGAAGTTTCTTGGAAACTGCACAATGACTCTGTTCGACTAAAATAGTCCTACGTTATCATTTTTTAATTTGAATTTATTTTCAGCAGTCATATAGCATTTCATATGGGGGACTGATAAACTGTAATTTTATTTCCTTTTTGTACATCTGGGTGTGTCTTTTCTACCGATAAATTCTTGAACCAAATGTCGTTTAATTAAAGGATGATATCGTTACTAACCCACAATACAAGGTTTTGTTTGTCTGAATTCACAGGCATACGCCCCGTTATGATCTCCAAAAGAAGAACTCCAAAAGCAAAAACATCTGTTTTCTCATCAACAATCCCATGCATAAAGTACTCTGGTGCTAAATATCCGAAAGTCCCTTCAATAGGAATTACAGCATGTTGTGTCCAATTGGTTGGAAGCCATTTCGCAAGACCAAAGTCTGAAATCTACACATATAATTACATGAAAATTATTGTAATTAGCAGATAAATGGAAACTTTTAAACTTTCCTTCCATAGTAGCAATTTTCTCCTCACCTGGGGTTCAAAGTCTAGATCTAGAAGAACGTTTGATGCTTTTATATCACGGTGTATTATCCGATGCTTGCAACATGTATGAAGATAATGTAAACCTCTAGCAATTCCAAGAGCTATTTTGTATCTTTCTGGCCACTTTATATGCTTTTTTGTTTTTCCTAGATTATAACAATGGGACAAATCAGAAAAAAAAAATGATAAATATTTCAATTTAGTTTCGTACCATGTAATGCTGAGGAGAGAGTTCCATTAGGGTAGTAGTTAAAGATGAGATAAAGTCCATTTTCTACACAACAGCCGACCAAGCTTGCAGTATTAGGATGGTGAATATGTCCAAGAATTCCCAATTCCATTAGGAACTCTTTCTCCTTATTTTGATCTTTGTTGTCCTTAGCTAGCTTTTTCACTGCAATGACTTGTCCATTTTGTAAGTCACCTTTGTATACCTCTGAGTATCCTCCTATACCCACAATATTATCTGAAAATAAATAGTTAGATACTCAGATTGCATATGTTCTTTTGACAACTACCGAAATTGAAGAACATATCTTTAGAATTTTCAGTCTTCACAATGTATGTATAACAGTTATATGACCAATGGCGTATCTAATTTACTGATTTAGATATACACTATTACAAAATAAATTTTACATTTGTGTTAACATTGAATAATAAATCGTGGGTATGCTTTAGCATGATAAAAACTTTTATTTTTCCTTTTTTACACTTCAAAAACTAGAATTTCATATCGTACATACCCCATAGTTATGTCTAGTTGTGCGCTTGATTGTGTCTGGAATTAAATTTGTATACATGGTGGTGTGTATGTTTGTTTACATATACATATCAGTCTTTATGTGTCTCAGTAGTAACACATAGAGACAAACATGTCATCTACGTGGGTTCTTATATTAAATATTCACATTTCATAAGTATTTTGTACCTTGGTGGAAGTTATTTGTGGCATTGGCAAGCTCTACATAACTAAAGCACTTCAACAAAGGAGGGGGCTGTTCTTTGATTGGAAGCTTCCCGTTGGGTTTCTTAGTGTCATTCTCAAGTGGGTAGCGTAAGAAAGATGAAATGCGTTTTAACGAAGATATATGTTTTCTAAAAGAAAATTGTCCTTTTAACTCAGGAGCCAACTGAGGTCGTGGGGATTCTGTTATGCTTGATCCTTCAAAGCTAGAACTATCTTCTTCTGTGCTATGATAGTCTCCTTCAGATAAATCCAACACGTTTCTAGGTGAACGTTGCACGCTCTTCTTTCTTGACAAATCTGAAACATTAGTCTCAGTTACGTATTGAACGCTAGCAACGAATTTCTGATAGAATCCATAAGATTTAAATATTCCTAGTGAAAGTAACGTATAACGTCGCTGTTATATAATACCATATGAACTAACCTTCTACGTTGACATTGCCAGACTGAAAATCTTGTTGTGGGACATCAGATTTTCGAACCAAAACTAACGTACACGACTTTGGATGATGATGAAGGCAGTACTTTTCTGCTTGATGGATCCTAACCATGATAACAAACCTCGAATAAATACTCCACAACAATGTTAGCAACAGAAATTGAATTAATGCTTGATAGACTTCTTACTGGTTTGATTCGTTGCTTTTACTTCCGATCAGAAGATACTTAGGAGATATGGTTTTTGCTTCTTCAATAAGTCCTTTCCCAACACTAGAATTAAACCCAACTCTTGCCTCCAACTTCACCTAGGAAATAAGCACATTAAGTCCCCAATTATAAGTTATCGTGTAGAACAGACATAAGCGAAAGATCAACAACATTGTAAGTGTATTTTTTGAGTTACTTGTTTGGCACGGCATATGTTGGCGAATTCTCCCATGACAGATATAACAAAAGATTTTGCTTTCCGAATTCGCATTTGATATCTGCCGACTGATTTCTCTATGCCCTCTTCTTTCTTACTTATGTCTTTGTGTTTCTTCCTCCTCTTGGCCACTGTAACGTTATTGAAATGATAAAACGCCAAGAAAAAAAAACATTGATTGTACGAAAATGGAAAGTGTTTACATACTAACCAAGAACATGCAAAGCCACAATAGTGTCATTCGGACGAGCCAAATTACAAATTGCTGAAGACAGAAGATCCATGCTCTGTTCTTGATCTAATGTGATTCCTATGAGTATTTTAGTTGCAACAGGTTCGATCATTTTTTCTGTACTCTAGGAAGAAAAAAAGTTTAAACAACAACGAGCTTGTAGATGTTCTTTCTGCACAATGAATGCTAAATACTAGGCTTGGATATGTATAAGAAGATGATGATGGTGGTGATGATGATGATTGATTAAGGCTATACTTTGGGATTATCCTAGCGTTTGAAAAATCTTGTTTAAGAAGCATAAGCAACTTTTAAGTTTCACCCATTTATCAGTGTGTATGTGTGTAAAGGAGGACTGCAATTAATTGGTTATGGTTGAAGGAGGAAGATGGGGTGCTTTGTTGACTAAGCAAAGGTGAAGTGGCACTGTATGATTTTGTCTTGTGACATAAGCCAAAGGCAAAGGAGTGTTTTCATTTTGGAGTTTGGTAGGATAAGGAATGTGACATCTTAAGATTCCTTCCCTTTATCATGGAGAAATCTTTTGAATGACACTACCATGATTTGAAAACATCCATGAACTTCAAAAGTATCTAGGGTTTGTATTTTGAATGACTTAATTAGTTGTCCAATTAGTTTTGAATGTGGCTTTGGGATTATCTTTAAAAAAATCTTAAACAACTCGAGGACTTCATAAACATGGACGATTTATACCATGAATATGTTTCATTCGGTATAATGTGTATCACAAATGTGCAATAAGTTTTTTTTTTCATATAGTAGATGGATTGGGAATGTTTTGGCCGTTGTCAATATAAAGTTTATTGTGCACTTTATAATGGGACCCTTTTATAATAGGCTTAAAGTTGAAATTGGTAATTAATTATTTTCTTTGTATTTATTTGGTCGTTTATTTTATTTGTACTCGATTAACTTTTGAAATTAAAATCCAGGGGTCAATTATATTAATATAGTCCATATATGATGTGATCAAATTTGCAGTTTGAGTATGACTTTCATAGCTTAATAGGTTACATTCATATGGTTTTCAATCTTTTTCGGTTTTTGTATTTTAGTTTAAAATCATTTAAAATAACTATATTAAAATTTAGAGTAAAGTACAGAAATGGTCCTGTAGTTTAGTTAAATTCATAGTTTTAGTCCAAAACTCAAAATTCTGATAGGTCGAGTCCCTAGAGTTTTAAATTATTGTCGTTTGGATCCTTCCGTCTAATTTTGATAGTAAAATTCCGTTAAAAGCATTTAAAATGACTAACAGACCCCTATTCTATTTTTTAAATTTATTTTTATTTACTTGTTGATTATAGTTTATAAGTTAAATTGGTCCACCATGTCCCCATCCCCTCCAGCCTATCAGTTCATCCACTCCAACGACGGTATCTCCTAGGATGGTCATCTTCTCCAACAATCCATCGTCAGGTGATATTTTTGTTTTACAACAACTAATGAGTAAAAAAATCATAAAGTAGAAATCTAAAACCTATATCGTATGATATTAGAACCTAAATTGGTAACCAAAATCAATTGAAACCCAAACAAAATGGAAATAAAAACTAAAAATAAAATCTCAGGTTCCAAAACCAATCACACTTAAAATCGCCATGTCGAGATTTAGATCCACACCAATCAAAGAACAGTAATTGCGATTTTTGAAAAGGAATAGACGTTTGGAGACTCCTATCCAAACCATATCCATGTTTATGTGTTTCCACTACTTAATCGTTGCAAAGACTATGATGAATTCAAAACCAAAGCACAAGGACTAAATTTTGTAATCAGAAGACCTAATTTATTCATAAGAGATGAGTTGCAAATTTAAAATCATAGCATTAAAGGACTCAGGTGTTATTCTATCGCATCATGTAACGGTTGAGGTTGAGGTAATTACTCTTTTTCCTCTGGAATGAAATTTCTTTGCATAAGGGTCCCTACGTATGCTGGGCGTACGCTTAGCGCACTGAGGGAAAGTTGGTCGCGAGTATGCACCACGTACGCGGGGCGTACGTGACTCAGGACTAAAACTCTAATTTTAGGGCAAGGCTCATACATAAACACTTTTATGTTGCTTGGACCTTACCCTAGTCAGCCTCCATAGTCTGTTATCGTCCCAAATCCCCATATTTGCATGAGAGTGTAATCCTTGAGCTTAAAAGTGTTTTGGTGGCCATTTTTAGTGGGTTGTCAAGAAGGAGAAGGTGGTGATCAAGCCTAGGATGTTATTGAGCTTCTAGATCCTGCATCTAGTCCATCTTGAGGAACTTCTGGAGGAAAAAATTCTAGACCTTGCCATCTCTTTTGCTAGTTTGAGTTAGGATTTGTTATGAATTCCATTTTTGGTTCATGGACCCCCTCTTGCGACTTTGAGCAACTCCAGAGGCTAGAAATGTTGGGTCTAAGCTCCTTGGGCATGTTTGATGCATAAAAATGTCATCTTGAAGTTGTATTGGGACCATGCATTTATGGTCTTAAAAGTGGTCTTAATGGGAAAAATGAAGTATTGGTGTCCCATGTGGCATGCAAGGGCATAAAGTTGCCAACTTTATGCCCCAGGACATCTTAATAGACTCATGTCTGGATTTAGACGTTGAGATCTCAAGTATTAAGCACTTAATGGAATTTTGTGCATGGGTTGTTTGTACGCCAGGCGTAAGGTTGCGTACGCTGCGCGTACGGTCAGAGAACTCAGTACGCTAAGCGTACTGATGTGGTGCGCTGGGCGTACGTACCCAAGATGAGTTGGGCTTCGTTGGGCTTGTAAGCTTATTGGGCCCCATTCAGCCTTGGGCCTGGACCCATTCAAAATTGTTGGACTTTTGTTCTACTTTGGGCTATAGTTGGCATGATTGGGCCTTTTGGGCCTTGTGTCCCATTATGGTTTTGGACTTTGTTGCTAGGCCCATTAAGGAAGGAGAGAAATTTGGGCCGCTATGGAGGGACTTGGACTTAGGATTTTGGGCTCTTGTCTAAGCTGTGTCATAATCCTAACTAGGGTATTTGTATATTTGTTCAGTGTGGGATTTTGGACTGGTAGTTGAGCAGTGATTGTTTCAGCAGACTAAGGTGAGTCTTCTCACTATACCAATGGGTCGAAGGCACCAATGTCGGCCCATTACCTGATATGAGATTTCAATAGTTGAATATACAATGATTTTGTTATTTGGTATGTATTGACTTATGTGAAGACCATGGGGGAGCCCATGGTATTTGGTAAGACCATGAGGGGGAGCCCATATCCCTTGGATGTAAGACCATGGGGGGTTGCCCATGACATCACAGTTGAAGACCATGGAAAGAGTCCATGGAAAATTTATTTGTATATATGCATGACATTATGTGGTTATGTGTTTTGTGTATTTTGGGAAACTCACTAAGTGTGTGCTTACATTTTTGTTAGGTGTTTCAGGTACTTCTGGTTCTAAGGGAAAGGGCCTGGCTTGATGGCGTAGCAGGCACTCTCCAGTATTTCTACACTTATTGTTTGGATACTCTGATCTGTTGAACAATGTGTTTGTGTTTATGTAATGGAATTTTGGAAAACAAATGTGGTTGAGATTTCTAATTATTACATGAAAACTTTTATCTGAATTTTTGGGCTGTTACAAGTTGGTATCAGAGCCTTGGTTTGAGGGATTCGGGCACACTCTCGAGTGTGCTAGAACTCAAACCGAGGAAATGGTAAACCCTTTTTTGAAAAGCAACGAAAGTTATCTTTTTCTGAAAACGGATTTCTTAAGTAAAAGGGGGAGAGTGCAATGCGCGTAATCGGCCGAGCTCAAGTAAGTGTTCCCAATGTATTAGCCATGCTATAGATATGTTCTTAGAAATTGATGTTGAATTGATTATTTGCTAAGTGTATGCTTTCAAAGTTGTATATCTCTAGGATTGCATAGCCCTAGAATGATGGATTATACCTTATTCATGTTCCTTGTTTGGTTGTGGTTTAGGGTAGAAGCTTTATTTGACAGTCTATGTGATTCTATTTGTGTATAACTTGCATGCATAGGGCAACCTGCTATGATTGATTTAGGTTTCTGGCTCGGTGAGGATTGAGGAATCATAGAATAGTATAGGATCTAAGTTTGTGTTGTATATGTGGGTCATGTTTTTTGTGGTTCGGTGAATTAGAGACATCAGGTGTGGCGTTGGGGAAGGTACAGGTAGGTGTGGAAGGTAGTATTGGGCCCGTACTACTGAAAGCACAAGACTTGACCCGAAACAAGGTCAGACCTGGAAGCTCTAAGGAGTCCGATGAGGAGAAATCCCTTCGAGCTTCCTTATCAATTGCTATTTATGTTGTATTTTCAGTTGAGGATGGTGATGATTACGCGAGGAGGTTCGGGTTCAGGATCAGGTTTAGGCTCTGGTGTGGAGCCCATTGACGAGAGGCTGCGCGATCTTATAGCGACCGAGGTTACTCATGGCATCCTTGATGCTACCCCGGTGATGTTTGGTACCGTCAAGGAGGGAATCATGGAGATTATGAAGGAGAGGCTCAGGTCCTTTCGAGTCGAGATTGATGCGGGTAAGATTGGGACTTAAACTCCCTCATTTCAGGAGTTCAAGGCGTGCGGTGAAGCTGAGTTCATTGGGGTTAGGGACCCCATCACTAGTTGCCGCTGGGTTGCAGACATTGAGAATGCCCAGCACACGAGCTTTTTCCCCGAGGCGGCAAAGGTGGGGTTCACGTCTTGTATACTGATGGATCAGGCGCGAGATTGGTGGGAGGAGGTTACCCGCAAGGTGGGATCAACGGGTGTGGCTGACATGTCTTGCGAGGAGTTCGTATGGAGATTTGATATGGAGTTTTCACCAGTCATTGAGGTGCAGCGTCTAGTGAGGGAGTTTCAGGATCTTCAGTAGACGACAGAGACTGTGGCGGAGATCACCGCCAAGTTTAAAGAGAGGGCGCTATTGGTTCCGTAGTACGCTGCATATGAGAAGATGAAGAAGACGAGGTATCACTCCATGCTGAGGGATGATATCCGTGAGTTTGTGAACTTTTCGGGGTGCAAAACCCTGAATGACATGCTGGAGAAGGCCCGGGAACGGGAAATCGAGTTGGAGCTCTGGACAAAGTGGAAGCCGAAGCAG